GGGGGGGGGGGGGTGTCTGAGGAGGGGCCTGAGGCTCTGCATGTCTAATGAGCTCTAGGTGATGGCTCCCACTGCTGGTCTGGGGACTGCACTCTGCCTGTGAGGCTACTTAGCATATTACACATCTGGTACAACTCTGGAACTCACCACAGTGATGGGCGGTGGTAAATAAGAAAGATATTATCTCCATTCTACAGACAGAAAACTACAGTTTGGCTATGTCAAGGTCACATAGCTAAGGTGGCAGAACTGGACTTCGTCCACGCTCTTTCCAACATACTTGGAGCTCAATCCTGTCCCCCAGCAGACCCTCTGCTGCTCCCTGGGCTCTTTAATAAGCACTGCCTGGCCTCTGGAACTGACTTTCATTTCTGGCCCACAGACCCCCACAGTCAGTGATGGCAGACACAGAGAACAAAGAGGTGGCCAGAATCACATTTGTCTTTGAGACCATCTGTTCTGTGAACTGCGAGCTCTACTTCATGGTGGTGTGTTTCCCTTCCTTTGCCTGCTGTAGGGCTCCCAGGGTGGGCTATTGGGAGGGTGGGTCCCCTCGGCCCCACTGTTGCATCAACATAACTGAGACCCCTGCTTATAGTGATTTCACAGAGGAAGGGCCCAGGCTGTCCATCAAGGGCTTTGCAGTTCCATGTGGGTCTGGCCAACTGCGATGGCCCCAGCAGCCACCCAACCATTGTGCCTTCTTCACTTGTCTGTCTTGGGTTCAGGGTGTGAATTCTAGGGCCAACACACCCGTGGAGACGTGGAAAGGTTCGAAAGGCAAGCAGTCCTTCACCTACATTATTGAGAAGAATGCTACTGTGAGCTTCACCTGGGCCTTCCAGAGGACCACCTTTCATGAGATAGTAAGTCCCTCCCCTTGCCCGGACCCCTGGCTCCCAGAAGAGACCCCTGAACCCAGGAGGATTCCTAGCATTAGTTTAGGTAGGAGTGTGAGGGTTGGAATCCAAGTATTAGGAGGATCTTGAGGAGCCAAGCAGAGAACTGCCTATTCCAGCCCTGAGAAGCATCTAGCCTCGTCCATATGACTTCCAGGTAAGCTCCTTAAAATGACCTGTCTCTCCTCGGCAGGGCCTACCCTGAGAACATCCTGTTCATCCCTGTTATTTAATAATAACAACTCTGGTTTTATTTCCTTCACTCAGAGTAATGCAGGTTAATTGTAGAAAACTTAGAAGGTAGAAAGAAGCAAAAAGGAGACATAAATCACCTGTAATCCCACTACCCAGAGATAACCCAGTTAACATACAAGTTTCTCCTATGCAGAGGATACTCTACAAATACTTTGTTCCTTTCACAGGGAAAAGACCTCTCTCTCCCTCTCTTTCTTTCCTGTTATTGAAGGGAGAGGGTGAGAGAAAGAAACATCAATCGGTTGCCTCCCACATGTACCCCAACTGGGATCAAACCCACAACCTAGGTATGTGCCCCAACTAGGAATTGAACCCAAGACCCTTCTGTGCATGCAGCAGTGCTCCAACAAACGGAGCCTCACTGGCCAGGGCAAGACCTGCTTTTTTCATATAACAGTATCTACTGCATATTTCCCGCATGGCCCTTAATATTTCTACATATCATTTTGAAATGGTTCAGGTTTGCTTTAAAATGACACAGAATGTATATAAAGAGCTACTGTTGAATGAGAAAAAGAATAAGCTACTTCTCAGGTTTTCCTCAGGTATTGTAGGGTAAAAAAGGTTGCGCAGTAATTCGCTATTTCCAGAGAACCCAATTGCTGCTGCTGTCTCAGGCCTCTGCCCTCTCTCCTCTCATTTCCTCATCTGCAGGGCAGAAAGTACACCAATGATATCGCCAAGATCTATTCCATCAATGTCACCAATGTCATGAACGGGGTGGCCTCCTACTGTCGGCTCTGCGCCCTGGAAGCCTCCGACATGGGCTCCTCCTGTACCTCTTGTCCTGCCGGCAACTACATTAACCGGAATTCAGGAACCTGCCACTCCTGCCCTGCTAACACAGTCCTGAAAGCCCATCAGCCCTATGGAGTCCAGGCCTGCAAGCCCTGCGGTCCAGGGACCAAGAGCAACAAGGTGCCAGCAGCGTCCGTGCATCCTCACCTTGGCCTTCCAGGATGAGCCGCCTCAGAGGGTGCCAGGTCCTAGATGGGGTTCTTGAGGAGCTGATCCCCAAGCGCTCCCCATTGCATACTCCCAGGGTGGAGTCCTGGAGGACACCCCTCCAGGCTGTGACCACGAATGGCAAGTTCTTACCTGTAGCAGTGGTTTTCAGGGTCTAGGCCTCAGTCGCAGACAAGTCTCATCCCCCAGAGATGAGTCAAGGAGATCGGTGACCATCTGGTCTGGACAGTTATTTGGCATCTGTGCAGAGGCCTGAAGGGAAGAAATAGTGGGACTTGTGGCTCAATTCAGACCTACTTCACTCCAGCCTATTATCGTGGGAACGTGCCCCCTCTCCTTTGGGAGGGTAACCCACCTGTGCTGAGACACACGGATAATTGGGATGGCTGTCTTCTATCCCTGTGGTGTCTTGTAAAGCGGAAAACAGCGCTGTTGGCCACGTACCACCCGAATCTCAGAAAGTACTACGACTAAAAGCTCTTAAGCCTTCATTAATGCTTTTAAGTGAATTCGCATTTTGCTGACCACAACCACATGGACATACATCTATAAGGCATTATTTATAGTCTGCAAACGTTGCTCAGCTTAGCTGTGCAGTAAATGCAACAATTCTACAGACCCCTGGCAACCTCTGGGGCGCCCTGGACTTTTGCCACACACTTCTTCCCCTGGGGCTCCCTCTGCTGCCAAGGGAGGGAATACAGTTGTGTGAGGCGGCTGCTAAATGAGGACCCTAAAATGGAGCAAGGGAGGGGTTTATAGGGAATGATGTCCCCTCTGAAGTTCAATTTCCTACAGAGACCGTGGGAAAGAGGAAGCAGGGTTGAGGGAGTTTGAAATGGCGGGGTGGGGGTAGATGTCTGTCTCTCCTGCCATCCTGGCCTCCCTTCCTCCAGTTAGCACCTTGTAGTCTTCTGCTTGAAATTAAGAAAGGTTATCTTGTGCCTTGAGAGAGTTCTATAATGTAAGCATAGGGACAAAGCTATAGACTCAGACCCAGCTACTTACCGGAAGATAAGAAGTTTGGGTTTGTACGTCACATATATGCTAATAATTGAATGGCAAAATGTACATAAGCCCCACCAGCCACTGCTTCACTCCCTTTAGGGCCCACCTGCTTCTTTTACCCCACTTGGGCTGGACCAGGTGGGGCCTCTGCTGCGGTCCACGGTCCCCTTGAAGCCTGCCCCAGCAGCCAGCCTGACAACCCCTTTCCCCTCAGATCCACTCTGTGTGCTACAACGACTGCACCTTCTCAATCAGCGCTCTGAGCAGGACTTTAGACTACAACTTCTCGGCTCTGACAGGCACCATCTCTCTGGCTGGAGGGCCAAGCTTCACTTCCAAAGGGTTGAAATATTTCCATCACTTTACCTTCAGTCTCTGTGGAAACCAGGTAAAGTGTGTCCGTGCTGATGGTATAAGAATTGAAAGGGGTCATCTGTGGACCAGAAGCCAGAGATGGACACAGGAGAAAAGCTAGCAAACCTTCAGGCAGCAGGGGACTGAGGAGACGAAAGGTTTTTAAATAATCACTACTCTGAGTATTCTCTCCTTTAAAATTAAGTCATTTGGATAATAAAGCTTTAGGAAAATAAGTCTTTTTAATAAGGTGTCCATTTACTCCTCTCTGACCTTCATTTCCTCAAAATGAGTTTATAAAAACTGTGCAGGAGGAGGATTTTTTTCCCCCTTAAGCAGTTTTCAGTAATCGTGGCACCTGTCATTTGTTTCCTAAAGGGTGGATAAAATAAATTATTCTTAGTTCATCTGCTTTAAGTAACATGAAAGGCTTTATTTATATCCTAAGGAAAGAATGTTACCACCAGTCATTTCATGCTGCTGCAGATATTCTGTATCCAAAACTCAAAGGTAGAAACCAGTGCTCACACCACTGCAGCACTTGATGAAATTATAAACAAGCCAGGATCTGCAGTTGGAAAGTTAGTTTCCAATTTTACCAAATAAAGAGCATCTCTGAGCATTTAGTCTGTGACTCTGTGTGGAGACAGGACCTTGACAGCGCATGGCTACTGCCTGGCTTCTGTAGCACACAAAAAAAGTTGAGCTGTATTTATATGGAGAACATGTCAAGAAATAAAGTAATCTGAGAAAGATGAGGGAGAGATGCCTCTATCTTGTTTTTAAAAGTCTTTGGGAAGAGTTAAAGCTTCAGAAGTAACAGTGGTAATTCAGGAATTGGGACTAATGAAAGCCCCATGTAGGAAAAGTTTCATTCAGTGAGTGGGAAGAGATGAAGAGGGGAACTTGGAGAGTTTGCATCTTTTGCTCCTCTATTCTCAGAAACGCTTATTGTGTACTGTCACACTACAGACCCTTAGTTCAAGGACAGTGCTACTATGTTTTATTATTTAAAATCTCCTTTCTGCTCTCGTGTTATTTCTTATAATCTAGAAAATAAACGGAGATATCAGATTTGGCAATTTAGCTCAATTTGTAATAAAATGTATACTATTAAAAATCCTACATTCTAAATACTCAGTCCACTTAAATTTAAAATATTGAACAAATGATTTTATATTAGCAAACAAGTTCTATACTGATAATCCATAAATTTAGCATCTTTGAGGGAGCAATAGCTCAATATTTTCTCTACTACAAAATCTTGAGGAAGGAACCTCTCAGCTCCTACCATCTTCCAGATTTCTTGTACAGTGAGGGTTGTTAAAAGCCGAAGGAGAAGCAGAGTATCTTCTCTTGGTGATTTTAAAAAAATAGAATAGGTTCCAACTGGTCCTAAGATGCGCTATCTCAAGGCAGGGAAGGGGCTAGTTATAGGGTCTGTTTTAACCCCTGGGAGTTGTTGAGACAAGCCTGGTGAAAACACAGCACAGAGAAGGAATGTGAACTAGGCCAGATGTTCAAAACACCTCATGGGATCAGTTACATACCTGTTTCTGTCTAGAAAACTGACTGTGCTAAGGAAGGCCCTTAACTGATAGATTAAACCTTGGAATCAGTTGTCACCATTATAACCGTGCTCATACAGGGTCCCCACATGACTCCAACGAAACAAAAAGACTGGGGTCCCCTGGGCCAGAGGAGGACACGTAGGCCTTATTTTTACCTTTTTTAAGCTACTTATAATTGTACCTGGGATGAATCATTCGACTACAACATATTAGAAGGCTAAAAATGTTAAGACATTAAAAAAATTAAAATGATCCCTGTTCTCTTTTGGGAAGTCTGTGACCATTCACTCCTTCCTGTCTCTTCTTCCCCTCGTTCCCCTGCCCAGGGTAAGAAAATGTCTGTGTGCACCGAGAATGTCACCGACCTCCGGATTCCTGAGGGTGAGTCAGGCTTCTCCAAATCCATCACAGCCTACGTCTGCCAGGCACTCATCATTCCCCCAGAGGTGACAGGCTACAAGGCTGCCGTGTCCTCCCAGCCTGTCAGCCTCGCTGATCGACTTATCGGTGAGTTGCCCAGCTGCTCCAGTCTGTTTGAGTGTGTATGCGTGTGAGAGTGAGGCTACCAGGCTTCCATCTGGGATGCCAGTGCCCCTGGGGCCTCTGACAAACCTGCAGTTCACCCTTTCATGAGCCACTAGGGGATGTGATGAGATAAAGGAGGGCTGGATGTTGACAGGTATTAAAAGAATTGAAGTGGCTGCCAGCTAATGTGACTAGTGAGAACTAACGAGGAGCTCTGATTTGGCAGGTGTGACAACAGATGCGACTCTGGATGGAATCACCTCCCCAGCTGAACTTTTCCACCCGGAGTCCTTAGGAATACCGGACATCATCTTCTTTTATAGGTGAAGACAGGAGGCCAGGCTAATGCAAGTGAAACTTAGGGCTCCTCCATAACTTCTTTTGCATGCCCCCCTCCTCTAGCCACTTAATACTTTTCAAGTGAGAACATGTCCAGGGGCTAGCAGGTCTGCCCAGCAATGATAGCTGGAGGCTGGGAGTTCCCTGATCCCAGCTTCTTGGGTATTCTTGGTGCAAGTCTGCCTTGGAGGCAGGGAGAAATAGTGGATGATCTATAGATTTCTCTTCCTGCCTAAGGACAGACACTCCAGTGTTATGCACATGCTGACCTCCCTAGACTAGTGCATTTCCCCTTGACTAGATCTTCCTGAACCCTACTCTCTCCAAAAATAAACCACGGTCTATGTACTCCCTGTGTGTCAGGTGACAGCCCAAGTCCTGACTTCCTAGGCAATGGACCTGTCCTATGCTGATGCCATTTAGTGACTCTCCAAGGGCACAGATGGGTGACTCATTCCCCCCACGGGGGCTGGCTTTCACTGCAGGTCCAATGAGGTGACTCAGTCCTGCAGTTCTGGGAGAGCCACCACCATCCGGGTCAGATGCAGTCCCCTGAAACCCGCCCCTGGAACTCTGTCCCTGCCCAGGTAAAGGAATAACTAAGTTGCCCTTTCTTGGACTTGATCTATCCCAAGAGTCAACAGTTGCCAAAAAAGAGCAAATGAAGAAACAGTCTGAGATCCATCACCGGGCTCTTGGGGGCATGGTCGCATTCCAAACCCTTCATCTTCAGATGTCAAGAATGGGGTAGAAGGAAGAGTTGAAGCTGCCTTCACATTCCCAGGCCATTACGGGGGCAGCTGCATAGCAAAGTGGCAAGCTGCTGGGATCTATCTCCTCTGCTCACTAGCTCTGTTGTCGTGGATACGTTTCTCACCTTCTGTAGGCCTCTTCCTGATTTATAACATGGGGATAACAGTAAGTTCCCTCAGGGGGTTTTTGTGAGAATTAATTGAGACAATGAGACTCGAGGAGTTCTCAGGGTGCCTGGCATGTACTTGCTACAATTAGGATTAATAAAGGTGTAGGGAATCCTAGAAATCTCTCCACAACGAAAAGATCTGGTTCTGAGTTTAAGAGCCAAGTGCAGTAAATCAAGAATCCCCAAACTAACTTGAGTACAGCAACCCCCCCCCCCACCTTTTTCACAAAACACCAACTAACATCTCAAGAGGCACTGGTGCCTTGAAGAAGATGGTTTGTGAGACGCTGCTCCTAAACAACTGACCAGGGAAATGGGGAGAAGCAGGAGATCTGACCCCAACAATTTAAGGCCGCTGTTCTTGTTGTAGTCAACATCACAGGAAAGTAACTAATGGATATCCATGACCTGAAGTCCATTCTTGAACGCCACTGCCAGGAAGCTGCATCGAGTGGCTTCTGTAAAATGTCACATGTCCACGGGGAGAACAGGAGCCCATGAGGGGTTGGTTGGGGCATCATGCTAGAACTCAG